CTGAAGACAGACCTTTCACAATCTAATCTGACTTTCCTTTGTATTCCTGTCTCCCACTGTTTCCCATATTCTGGGCTACTATGCTGCAGACTTCACGAAGAACTGCTCACATAGACACAGCATGCATTCCTGCACACTGCAGCCACAATGATCTAGTCTCCCTTCCTGCCAAATTTTCTGCTAACCACCACTTACAAAAAACCTAAACATTCTTCAAAATCCAGATCTAATGCTTTCTCCATAAAACTTTCCTTCATCATCCCACCAGAAATGATCTCAGTCTGTAAGGGACCATACAACATGTGGTAACACTCTTGAAGTTCTTGTCTTAAAGCAAATCATTAGTACTTTTTAATCTCCTTTAGCATATGGTAATTTCCCAAACAGGCTGGGCATTGTTTTATTTATCTTTGTACCCTTCGTGATGCCTTAGACATGTGTCTAACAAAATTAATTTAAAAATGAATAAATTCTACACAACTCTGAGTCACTCCTTTGCACTAGATGGTTAAGGCATCAAAAGATTAATAAAGTCCCAGCACTAATGGGGCTTACAATCCAGAAAGAGATATGTGAGCAGATCATGTAAATTACACATAAGGCATACTGTAAGTGCTAGAACAGACTGATGGCTGTGCTGTGGTTGTGTAGAGCAGGCAACAATTAATATCAAATGAGAGCACTGATAAGAAAGGGGATATCTAGGCTGAGTGTTAAGAATAAATAAGATTTTAACAGGAAAACACCAAAGGGAGGGGCCATTCCTGACAGAAGAAACAGCAAAGATAAAGTCTTGGAAGTCTCTAGTATGCTACTGAACCAAAAAATAACAGCCAGAAAGAGAGAGAAAGAGGAAGAGGGGGAGAGGGGAGAGAGGGAGAAGGAGAGAGAGAGAGAAGGAGTAAGAGGAGAGAGGGAAGGAGGAAATATGAATATGAATGTGTTACTAGGGAGAAGACCCAGCTGGAAGGACCTCAAAGAATTTGAACAATCAAAGGTATCTAAGCAGGAAAGTGATATGATTAGTACTGTTTCGGTTTACAGCTCAGATCAGGATTAAGAGATAAAAATAGTGAAATCATGGCAGTTAAAACTCTCTGAGACCTCTGGCTGGTGCAGCTCAGGGGATGGAGCACGGACCTCCAAACCAAAGGGTCACTGGTTCAATTCCCAGTCAAGGCACATGCCTGAGTTGCAGGCCAGGTCCCCAGTAGGGAGCACATGAAAGGCAACCACACATTGATGTTTCTCTTTCTCTCTCTTTCTCCTTCCCCTCTCTCTAAAAATAAGTAAATAAAATCTTTAAAAAACATTAAAAAACTGTTGGGGGGGAGTACAAAAGCTAAAAACTAAATCCTGAAGATTACACTGGGGAGGAAAAGAGAAAAGAGGAAGGAGGTCAGTGAAAAACACAAGTTATCTGAGAGACAGGAGACCAAGGAGAGAATCTCATAAAAACCAGAAGGGAAGCAGGGGTAGTAACCAACAATAAAAGAAGAGAGGATGAATGTATGAAAAGAATCTTACTTGACAAACAGGGGGTTGCTAAAGCTCTTAAGACTGAGAGTTTCAATATAATTGTGTGAGGGCAGGGAGAGAGCCAACTCACTGTAAGTTAAGAGAAAAGGTGAAGAATTAGAAAGGCATCAAGTGGGGACTGCTTTTGTAAGAACTGTGACAGTGAATGGGAAGAGAGAAAATGTTAAAAGTCTGAGGCCAAAGCAGAGCACAGGTTAAGTTTCTATGAGGAGTTATATGAACTTTTTATCCCCACAGAATAAAGGAAACTGAAACAAAATAACAGGAAACATGCTGCCAAGTCCTGAAGGGTGAAATGAAGGCAGAAAAAGTGGAAGGAGGCAATACAGAGGGTACCTTGAAAAAGAGAAGAACATAGGGGAAACTATAAAAATTTGTGGTATTGACAAGGAAATTAAGGGCACTCCAATAATTGGATAAAGTAAGCAATAAAGAATTAAATAGGGTAAGGCTCAGCAAAATAAGATGTGAGCAATTGCTATTTGGAAAAGGACACTCAATTGGAAATAAAGAAAATGAGCACTGAAGACCTAGACGATAACTGCAAAAGTAAAGGAACAAACAGGATTAAACGTTAAAACAAAAAGTTAGAGTAGTAACATTAAAAAGTTATAAACTCTCCAGGCAACTAGTAATCGTACATCAACATGTACAACACAAATCTTTGTATTATCCAAAATATTCCCAAAATCCAGCAATAGTCTACTTGCTTTAAACAGAGAATACGACTGTATCACAATCAAATCCCAATATTTTAAAAAGTAGGTGGTTTTTATTGCATTGAGTTCTGACTTAATAAGTTTCATATCAAAGTTTTGAATCTTATCTTTCATAACACTAACTACCCTCTTTTGGATCATCCACAAATTCAATAAACTTAACCCAACACAGGAAGTGGACATTTTCTTTCAGCAGGACACTAAAAAGGCCTCCTTCAGGATTGATGATAATCAGGGTTGTTTAACTGATAATGAATCAAATTCTAATTATATTCACATATAGCCTACATCTCTCTATTTTGACCACAAAACATGATAATTCTGTCAAATTGCTCTGGCGAAATCTAATTATACAATGTCTAAAGCATTTTTCTAATGAACCAGTCTATTAATTCTCTCCAAAAAAAAAAAAAAGGAAATGAGGCTAATCTGGCCACACCCTAGCCAGCCCTGTCTCTATTCAAGGTACCACCAGCTTTGAATTTAAATGATCCTATAAATCAAGTTAATGGCTCTATCCTGACAGGATCACACTACCTTTCTCCAAGGAAGACAAACTTTCCACTTTTTAATTAGCTACTCCTAAATGTATGAATATAAGGAAATCTCCCCTCCCCAAACAGGGAGAGAAAAAAAAATTCCTGGCCAATTTAAATATGTAAACTTTTGGTGATACAGTTAAAAGGATCAAACGTCTCTCTATAATGTCCATTATATTACATTAGTTGTACATATCTAAAATCACATACTATATAAAAGAATATTTAGAAGTTCATTTCCCCCTTTCAACATTTCATAAAAAAATTTTATTGAAATTTTCCCAGTGTATCTTTGGTATGTTTTCACGTTCACTAGAATGACTGAATCATTTACCAGTTTTTTAAAGCATTGTTTCCTTCCTTTTATTTACAAAAGTTGTTTGGGTTACAGATTTTTTGAATCCTTGTTATCTTTTTAACCTGAATACTATCTGCTCATTTTCTATATATTCAGGCAACTTTTTCATTCTTTAGATGTGTGCTGTAGATGTAGATTCACAATCTCTACAAGGTAAGCACTTACTATTGTTGACTGAAGTAGTTTCAGACTTACACCTCCTCCAGTCAATCCTTTGCCAGACTTTTTGTATGGGGTAAAATAAAGTGACTTACTGTTTTCTAAGAGATATTTTTTTAGGGGAAAACAAGATATGTTGTTGTAATATGCAGGTAATCAAGTCAAAAATTCATAAAGATTTAGGAACCCAATTATTTCTTAGACACATTTCAATTAAAAACAAGCTATTGCTTAAGTTACATGCGGATGCATTAACAGTAGTCTATAGAAGTCAAACAAATTTTCTTTCTAAGGCGATATATTAGAACTTTGCTATACTGTTATAAAAGAATAGTAGAGTAGGACAGGTTACTCAATTTCTGTGAATTATTTTTCCTAGAGAAACAGCAAGAGTAGTCATTCTAGTAATTTATGTGTATCATTCAAGAATTAAGTACCCGTCACTGTTTCAAGCATTTTACACTCATTAACTCAACCTTCACAATGCTCCTATGACACAGGCACTATTGATAATTTCACTTCATTGATGGGAAACCGGGCAGAGAGGTTAAGAAACTTGTCCAAAGTCACACAGCTTCTAACCAACCAAAATTCAGTCTAGTTCTAGGCCCCTCCCCCTCTAAAAGAAGATACATTGCCCCTTAAGTTAGTAAAAATAGGTCTACATTCTAAGACAGTCCCATCTATCAGGCATGATGTAGTTTAGAGAAGACACGAGAGAGGTTTTAGTGTATTTTAACATGTTTTCTATTCGATTATTTTCTACTATCCATCAACACTGCCTAGAGGCATAAATGATGGTTTGAGCGAGGAGTACTTCATCTGTTGTGTTTATGTTCCTTGAGCTAATCAGGCCCCCATTTCAGTAAATACTTTTAAGGCAAAACGTCCCTACTATAAACACAAGCATAGAATAAGCAAAGTAGTGCTCTGTCTTCCTCATTCTCAACATTTTAACTGATAGAGAACCTGACCCTCTAGGCCCAGATCTCCCCTGCTATCCCAAATCTATAAAACTAACTTTAAACCGTTTTTCTTGTATACCGTAACTTTCCTAAACCCTAAAATTAGAGTAGCATTTCCTCAGTACTCAACTGGTTGTGTGCTGTAATGGAGATAATGAGCAGTTTCCCAAAGAAAAAAAGGGTAAAATAGGAACTGAAGAATGGGAGAACAGTAGAAGGGAAAGTACAGCGTGTAGAACGGGGAGTGAGGTGGAAAGCGCTGTTGTCTGACATGGAATTCCGTGCAGAGAGAATGAGAACAGAAATTGAGGAGGAGGGGATGGTCATGAAACCCATGTTGGGCAGCATTTTCTGGGATTTTCCTTTTATGCGTTTTAGATTCTCATTTCGGAAAAAACTGAGAACCTCAGAGCAGCAACTGCTTAATCGGTCAGGGCACATTTCCTCTCCCGCCGGAGGTCAGAACTGGTCCCTTGCAAGCTTCGCTCCCCGTTGGACCGCAGCCGGGCCTTTCTAACATCGGTCAATCCGCGGGAGGGACAACCAGAACCTCTCGACCCCAAGGCCAGAGACCCGCGTTCCGGTCCTCGGCGGCAGCCTCCCAGGTTTCCCTTCCGGTAGACAACTCCCACATTTCCCTCCAGAACCTGAACCGAGTCTTTACCGAAGAGCTGAACCCAGCGGTCACGGACTAAATACCAAGCTGGACTGAGGGTTTTACCTTTAACAGATTAGACGTCGCCATGTTTCTTCAACTTAGAATCTCGCGAGACGGCGCGAGATTTCGTGGCGCCGGAGACCAGGCCACAACTGGAGGCCGGAGTTCCCACCAGGTCCGACGGGCCCACCGGCCGCACCGGGGGTATGGTGGGAAGCGGGCGGCGTGCCAATAGCGCTGACTTCGTTCCAGGTACCTGGAGCTTTTTCTGTTTCCCCCTACATGGTCACCGGAGCTTCCCCACTCGGAAGAACTCATGCAAACGCTCAGGGAGCTGGCTACGGCGAACGGTGAGAGGGTAACGGGAGCCGACCTGAATTAGAAGTGGAAGCATCGACTCTAGGAGCTTCCCCACTCCATCGGATTAGCTTTTGAAGTTGCACCCTCAGCCGCCACCGGCAACGAATTTAGCTCGGCTCAGACCCGGCAGCTCAGGTTCCACGGCTGCATCACGTGACACAGCGGGCGGGGGCGCGCTCGAGAACGAGCGTGGGAGCCTGGAAACCTTGGTGGGCACCGGAGGCGGCGCAGGAGTGGGAGCGCGCCCTCTGCTGGCGGGACCATACATCTTCCTTCAGCCAGCGCACCGAACCAGGTGACTCGGTTTTAAGGGAGGTCTAATGAAATATCTGTAACAGCTGTCTTCGGTAAGAACTGGCACGTGGAAGCCTCCCAATAAATATTTGTTGAATGAATGCACAAAAGTATTGACTACTCTATTAAAGAGGGCTTGGCGCTAGTCTTGACCAGTTTGGCTCAATTCATTCAGCGTGTTGTGCAAGGGGAAAGGTTACCTGTTGGATCCTGAGGGGTCAGGACTCATCCTGGGTTGCTGGTTTGGTCCAGATCCTGGCAGTTACTAGAAGCAACTTATCGATGTTTCTCTCCCTCCTTCCCTTCCTCTCTCTCTCTAAAAAAATAAAATATCTTTTAAATATGCTTTATTGGTTATGCTCTTAGAGTTGCCTCAATCTTTTTCTTCCCTTTATTTCTCTGCCCTGTACCCCACTTACCACAAGCATTCCCCCACCTGAGTTCGTGTCCATGGGTCATACGTACAAGTTCTTTGGCTTCTCCACTTCCCATATTATTCTTAACCTCCCCCTCTTTATTTTGTACCTACCATTTATGCTTCTTATTCCCTGTACCTTTTCCCCCATTCTCCCCCCTGCCCCTACCACATGGATAACCCTCCATGTGGTCTCTATTTCTGTGAATCTGTTCCTATTCTAGCTGTTTGTTTAGTTCATTTTGGTTTTGTTTTTTTAGATTCGGTTGTTGATAGTTGTGAGTTCTCATTTTATTGTTCATATTTTTTATCTTTTTCTTACATAAGTCTCTTTAACATTTCATATAATAAGGGCTTGGTGATAATGAACTCCTTTAGCTTCACTTTATCTGCCTTCCATTCTAAATGAAAGCTTTGCTGGATAGAGTAATCTTGGATGTAGGTCTTTGCCATTCATGACTCTGAATATTTTCCAGCCCCTTCTTGCCTACAAGGTTTCTATTGAAAGTCAGCTGATAGTCTTATGGGAACTCCTTTGTAGGTAACTGTCTGCTTTTCCCTTGCTGCTTTTAAGATTCTCTCCTTATCTTTCATCTGGGGTAACTTAATTATTATGTGCCTTGGTTTGTTCCTCCTTGGGTCCAACTTCTTTGGGACTCTCTGAGCTTCGTGGACTTCCTGGAAGTCTGTTTCCTTTGCCATATTAAGGAAGATTCCTTCATTATTTTTTCAAATAACTTTTCAGTTTCTTGCTCTTCCTCTGCTCCTTCTGAATCTCCCTATGATTCAAATGCTGGAATGTTTCCAGATGTCCTGGAGGTTCCTAAGCTTCTGCTCATTTTTTTGAATTCTTGTTTCTTCATTCTGTTCTGGTCGCATGTTTATTTCTTCCTTCTGCTCCAAATCATTTATTTGAGTCCTGGCTTCCTTGCCATCACTGTTGGTTCCTGTACATTTTCTTTTATTTCACTTTTCTTAGCCTTCACTTTTTCCTCTGTTTTGCAACAATACTCAACCATGTCTTTGAGCATCCTGATTACTAGTGTTTTGAACTGTCCATCTGATAGGTTGGCTATCTCTTCATTGTTTAGTTGTATTTTTTTCTGGAACTTTGATCTGTTCTTTCATTTGGGCCAAATTTTTTTTGTCTTGACGCACCTGTTATGTAGTAAGGGATGGAGCTTTAGGTATTTGCCAGGGTGGGGCAACCCGCCTTGCTGTGTTGTGGCACTGTATGTGGGGGAGGGTTCCTAGAGGGAACAGTGCTGCTTGCTCAGCAATCAGTGCACATTCAGTCATTTCCACCGCTACCCACAAGCTAATTGAGCTCTTCTGGTGCTGATCCCAAGGAGGTGGGTGGTTTTGTGTACCTTCTAGGACCCTGTGGGTCTCTCCAAGAAACTCTTCTCTGAGACTGGGAGTATCTCTTGCTGCTTCAGCTCCCACAGGTTTTTTCAGTTAGAGGTTTTGAGGCTTTATTTACCCTGTTGGAACCTTGGGTTATGTGGTGTGTCTCACTCCCCAGTTCTTCCTCCTGGTTTGTCCACAGGCAAGTGTGGGACCACCCAGTACAGCTGTTCATCTCTGCCCCTCCTGTCAGTCTGGATGAATGTTTCTTCTTTAACTCCTTAATTGCCAGACTTCCATACAGTTTGATTTTCTGGCAATTCTGGTTGTTTTTTGTTTTTAGATGTGTTCTTGTACTTCTTTTGGTTGTTCAAGGAGGCAAAGTGTATCTACCTACACCTCCATCTTAATCCGAAGTCTCTAAAAATAATTAAATAACATCTTAAAAAAAGAGTGCCTAACACTGAAATCTATAAATGCTTGATTAGGCAATGAATATCAATCATGGATTTCCTGAAGGCATATTATGTTAGAAGATCCTAAACCACAAGCCCTCAAGGTTTATACCTTTAGACCACAAGCCACTGGAAAAGGGAAGAGAATATAATTTATAGGTAGAACCTGCAATGTACCTGATACTGCATTGTGCATGTTTACAAACATTCACTCATAATATGTTAGAAATAGATAAGAGCTATAGAGTAAAATAAACCAGGGAAGGGGGATGATGTTTGATATTTTAAATAGACTCATCCAAGTAGGACTCACTGAGAAGATGGCATTTGAGCAAATACTTGAAGGAGGTGTGGAAGAAGACCAGGCCTATGTGGGAGAAGAGCATCCCAGAGGGGACTCACAGGTGGCAGGTTGCCAAGAATGTCCAAGGAACAGTGAGAGGGTTGCTGTGTTCAGAGCAGAGAAAGGAAAGAGAGCATAAGACTGTATATGGCTTTGTTGACCACTGTAAAGACTGGTTTTCATTCTGAGTGAAGTGGGGCACCACTGCAGGCTTTTGAACAAAGGACTGGCATGGTCATACTCTTGTTTTAACATGATTACTCTGGCTGTGGCATAATGAATAGAAGCAGAAAAGTAATTTAGAAAGCTTTTGTAATATTTCATTAAATCAACACAACAATCATGCCACCTAGGTGTCTCCATTTTACAAATGACTTAGTAGACAGCAATCTAGGCACTATTAAACAATGAATAAGTGGTACAACCAGGGTTCAGAGCTACTATGCCCATAATGTCCTGGAAGAATATGAACATAGGAATGACTCTTAGAGGCCATCTTTGTTTACAGATTAGAAAAAATGAGACTCAGGTGATCTGGCCAAGGTCACTCAACTGGGTCAGAAAAGACCTAGTCCAGAATAAACTTTATATATAGTTCCCTTCTCCAATGAAACTAGATTATCTTTAAATCTAGTCAAACTCTTCTACCTAATTTAAAATGTAAGACTGTGACCCTGGCCCATGTGGCTCAGTGGATTGAGTGCTGGCCTTCAAACTAAAAGGTCACTGATTCAATTCCCAGTCAGGGCACAGGCCTGTGTTGCGGGCCAGGTCCCCAGTTAGGCGTGCATGCAAGGCAACCACACATTGTTGCTTCTCTCCCTCTCTTTCTTCCTCCCTTCCCATCTCTCTAAAAATAAATAAAATTCTAAAGAAAAAAAAGGAGGTTTTCCCTTTGTCTCTGCCTTTAAAAAAATAAAATGTCAGATTGTAGATTAAATAATAATCAGCTTTTTGTACTGTAAAAAAAATAGGTGGCAAGTCATAATGTAACACATGAATGAATGTATGACACCACTTAAAGAATCCAGTTAAGTATTTAGTACTTGTTTGAGTACCTACAATAGGCATACCTTGTTTTATTGCTCTTTGCTTTATTCCACTTCACAAGTGTTGCATTTTTTCACAAATTGAAGGCAAGACCCTCCACCAACAAAGAGATTTCTACTCCTTTTATTGTGGTGGTCTGGAACCAAACCCACAAAACCTCCAAAGTATGTCTAAAACCTCCAAAGTATGTATTAGGCACTGGAAATATAAGAAATAAATGAGACAGAGAACCCTGCTCTCTGGGACCTTATAGTCTTAAAAGGGAGGCAGATATGAAGCATAGTTACACAAATCAAATATTGCTTAATTGGAATTTGGATAAATACTCCAAAGGAAAACTAACATGCCTTGAGACCATATGGTAGGGAAGGAACCAATATCCTAATTGCCATCATTCTGTGGACACTCTGAACCTTATGGGTACTTCTTTTTTTGTTTCTTCCTTCTCAGAGACAACTGCAGTTGTTTCTTGAAAATCCTTAGGATGTTCTGTGCATATGTAAACATTCACATATGTATTTTTTTCACTCCCCACAGATGATGGCATACTACTTACACTGTTAACATCTTTTTTTCCATTCGGCTGTATGATATAAATCACTGAAAATATGTTTGTGTTTATTTTTTTTCACACTTTATTATAGAAATTCAAACAATTACTGGCAGGCCCTAGTGTATCCATTGCCTCCAAGATGTTTGGGATTATGAAAATAGGCTCTTGAAGTCCACTTTAAATACATACTCTAACTATTAAGTCAAAGCTGTGCCAGGGAATGCCACACATTGCCAGTGCTGAGGGGGATGTTGTCTTTCTTGGGAGAGGGCATCTCAGAGACATCTGCCTTCTTCACAGTGCCTGTAAGACAGTCACCCGTACCTTAAGTCTACAGTGAGCCCACAAAATTACTGTTTTAGGATAACCCCCTCTTCC